GGAGGGGAGCATGGGGGAGGGTCAAAGTGCGGGATGACATACGCTTGCGCCCAGGGTGTCACTCATGGGGGCCCGGCTCGGGCCTCAGAAAGTGCCAGGGCTGCTCTCAATCCTCCTCAGGATCCCTCTTCGATGGAGATCTGATCCACACTCGCCCGTGCCTCCGAATTTCCTCAGGCCACGCGCTGCGGCGCGGCGCCCTGCTCCTGCCCGGCGTGGTGGTAGAGCATCTCTGGTCCTGCGGCGCCGTGCTGTCCACGCCCTACCCGCTGTCCCGCGGCGGGCCCCTGTCCTGGGACATTCAGCTGGAGGAGCTGTGGGAGGGCGCGGAGCGGCTGGCCAGCGGCGCCGAGGCGCGCTCGCGGGGCGGCGGCGGCGCAGACACACGGGGCAAGGACGGCGCCGACGCGCCACGCGCGTCCGGCCGCTTCCCCGCCTGCCCGGACTACCACTTCTTCGTGAGCAGGCGGGGCGCCGCCCATGCCCACTGAGCGGTTGACGGAGAGAATGACCCTCGCCCGGTGACGTTGAGAGGTCGCCATGCGCCTTGTGGTGGAACCGACCCGTCCCCTCCGAGCTCTTTGAGAATCCCGAGGACTGCCATTGTAGGGGCCCTCCAGGCGCAGTGACCTTTCCTCGCCTCGAGCCACCCATTTTTCAGTACTGACACGCGACCTTGGTGCAGGCTCGGCATGCACATTCACAGTTTATTTCATCTGGGCACCCCGCCCTGCACTTCCGTCGCGAGCACGTTCGTATGTAAGCGACGCGTGAGGCAGGGAAATAGAAGCTTCTGGGGCTGGCCTGTGCATCAGCTTTACAAGCACCAGCGTGCAGCAGTGCAGGGTCAGGCGATGTCGACATGCCCGAATGCCAGCCCCTCATCCCCCGCAGCTTGCTGGGGCTCCAGCGTGAGCTGCTGGTCGGGGGTGCTGGACGGGTCAAAGTACAGACCCTCTATGGCTCCCGTTATCCTGAGGAGGGAAGGAGGAAAGGGAGAGTGAGGTAAAAGGCTTCACGCTTTGCCTGAAGGATAGGTGTGACCTTTACAGACGTAGGGCTAGGAATTCTCAATGAAGGCACGATGGCCTCAAGACATACGCATGAACAGAGAGGCATACCTAGCAGACCCTCTCTGCTGCAACAAAAACAATGGGGCGGCACAACGATTCCACCAGCACGGCAGACTCCAGACCTGTTGTAGCTCATCACAGCACCACCACACCCTCCCGGGCCCTCCCAAACATGGCCACACCTGTCGAGGCACAGGTAGTAGAACCCGGCGATGGTGAGCCGGCACTCGCAGCCCTCCACGAAGAAGCGCTCCTTCCAGCGCATGTACACGTGGCGGTGCCGCGCGAGGCCCGAGTGCCGGCCGCCGCTCGCCATCACCTCCTGGGGGTCAGGAGACACGAGGAGGGGCGAGTGAGGTACCCGGCTCTAAATTTCGGTCCAGGACGGATCTACCAGATCCACATTCTCGAGCCAGACTTCCAATCTCAGATTGAGAGTCCGTGTATCCACTTGCCCCCTCGCGCTCCCTCCCGGCCCTGCGCCTCACTCGTCTTAGCGCCTGGAAGGTCTTGAAGCGAGACCAGTGCCGCAGGTCTGACTCTATGCACGCTCCGTACTCCGAGGTGAAGAAGGTGTGGTTGACGTTGTCCACGATCTCACCCTCGAAGAAGGTGGTGACAGGGCGTTCCGAGTCCGGGATGTTGTACGCCTCCAGCGTCCCACACAGGCGGCCCATGGCGTGCGTCACTCCCTGATAGTTTGATGATGGGAAGGGCACTCCCTTGGTGGGGGAGAACAGGACAGTGCCACACGGTCAGCTGCATCGCCCTGCAGTCTGCTGCTATGTCCAGCTTCAGACATGGCAACTGCCTTGACGCGGAGCCATTGATGAATCCTTACAAAGTCCACCAACCTGTATCGTGACGGTGACATTCCAGTGCTCGCCCTTGGAGCCATGCTTGACCCGTTGCCGACCCTCAAATCGCTGCCCCAGCTGGAGGAAGGCACACGGTTCCGGCGGGGCCTGGGGCCGAGGGGAGAGGGTGGGGCCACGCTGGGTTCGGCCCATAGTGGGATAGGGTGGAGCTAACACTAGAGCGCTGACCAGCGACGTCGAACCTCCGCGGCTCCGCACCTTGAAACCCTGCTGCTGCGCCGGGGAGAGTGTGGTGCCGGTGGCCCGGTCTGACACCCAGAACCCTGGTGAGGGGAAGGGGAAGCTGCCCAGCACGCGGTTCAGCTGCCGCTGGAACAGGAGCGGGGTCTCCTCCCCTCCGGCCAAGATCACATCCACCTCTGCCAGCTCGGTGGCCCCGGACTGGCGCTCCCGACCCCGCAGCTCCGTCTGCTGAGGTGTGGGCCCGGAAGGGTCATGTGTCAGAGGTGGTGGTGACTGAGCTACCTGTCCCAGGGGGGCACGAGCAGCTCCCCAGCTCCTAGGCCCTGCCAGTGCCTCAGGCCCCCCCTCACCAGCAGGCGCAGCTGTCCCTGCAGCGCACGACGCACGCCCACGATGGAGGGCTGCTGCCCCGTTTGCATGGACGAGCAGGTTTCGAGGTTCCCGGGGCGCCCCTGACTCCCTCGCCGACCAGCCTGCGGAAGGGAGACTCGGTCCGCCTCGAGGATGCCTCTGTTCTTCTGTTGAAAGCCTTGCGTGCCTTTATGCCGATCAGTGAGGTAAGAATGTAATACTGATGGCATTCAATGCTCCCCTTGAGACGTCACAGGCTTGTCGAGCCTTTCAGATCGACATCAAGCCAGCTGGCAAACCATGCGAAACTGTCGATGAAAAACAATGACACAGGCACGCATTCATCATGATGCTGCACTGCGTTCTTTGCCCAGAACATGAACCTCGTCCACATATTGCTACTCATGACTTGTTCGGGACTCTCATACTGCTTCCTGCCCTACCAATGCAGGGGCGGTGAACATCTGGGAGGGTGCTTGCTCGGCGGTATGCATGATGGAGAATGTGCATTGGGTGTGGGTGGGTGAGTGGGTGTGGGGGGGGTGACGTCAAGTCATCTGTTACATCCGTCACGGCAGGCTGTGATATACCCGAGGGCAATGTGTAGGGCGGTATCCATTTCAAGGCCCAGCTCCGGCGCAAGCGTCGAGGTGAGGCGGCGAGTGTGCCCGACTTGGGCAGACACCTCTCCCGTCATCAACCCCACCCATTCGAGCAGATGCCCCATCACGGCCGGCCATTCAGCACTGAAGTCTCTGGTGCGGCAGGGAGCCCGTCCAGGAAGGCCAGCCAGGCCTCCTTCACGGCCCCGCTGCAGGTGGGCACCAGGTGGCGGCCCGGGTGACGGTGGGCCATCCGTGGCCCGGAGAAGGTCTGCGCCAGGGCCTCGCTGCGGTCCAGGGGGATGATCTCGTCCGCCTCACCCATCAGGTGCAGGCTGGGCAGGGCCAGGCCCGGGCCCGCCAGGGACGCCGCCACCGCCGGGTCGCGGGGCAGGAATCCCGAGACGAGCACCGCGAAGCGGAGGGCCCCCTCCGGCAGCCCCGCGCAGTAGATGGCTGCGGCGGTGGCGCCCTGGGAGAAGCCCAGGATGCCGTGCACTGGGGCGTGGGCCGCCAGGGCCTCGTCCAGGGTGCGGCGGGAGGCCCCCCAGCCGCTGTACCGCACTGCGCTGGAGGGCCTGGCCTGGTCGGACCCCAGCTGGTTCCCGGCTGGCAGCTCCTCCCAGTCAAACCTGTGTACGGGTGTATCGGTAGGTGGTTGAGGGGTAGTGAATTGATAGTGGGCGGCCTGGACCTCTGGAGCGCCGCATACTGCTCGACGGCATGATGAGAGGTGACACACCCAGCCCATGAAGGTAACAACCACATGCGCTGCGCCAGAATCTCAACCCCCTAACCCTCACACGCACCAGCTCTTCCCCGTGGTCTTGGCGTCGTGGGGTGCGTCCACGTACACAAACTCTAGGCGGGACTTGAGGGACTTGCGCCCGCTCCCAGTCCTCGTCCTGAAAATGTCTGCCGTCTGAGCATAACCATGCAGGCACAGCACCCGCAGCTTGGCCTCCACCAGGCCACCTGGCGAGGCTAGTTGCGGCATGCTCAGGCTGGGGGTCGAGCCCCACGAATCGATGGCCCCAGCCCCTGGTGCCCGTTGATTGGTAGTAATCCCCCCGTCCAGGCTTTGGCGTACCACCCTGCCTCCTTAGGAGGGATTGAAACGGCTCACCGAGATTGACTACAAGTATATATTTAGTGATCTGTGGGTCGATGACGAAGTCCTGGCTACTCATCTGCCATCCATTTTGGCAGAGGAAGACTTTGTAGGGCCACGTGTCTTTCGGACCAACATCGTCGACTGCCATTTCCTTGCATGCGCACAGCGTAATAAGCCACCAAGCAATTCCACAAGAAGTATATCCGGCTTGGTATAGCTTAAGCGTCAGGGCGGGGCCCCCAACCGTCGCTCTTATGCACTGAGGAGGGACCGTCGCGGTGTGCCATGGCGGAGAAGCCCTCCTTAACGGGAGAGGAGCTCAAAAACTTCATAGACAGTCTGGAGGACGCCCAGCTTGCTGTGAGATGGGAGTAATTCCGGCTTATGGGACTGCATGCAACGATGTGGTCTCTCTTGTAAGAACAATCTCCAAGGTGCCAGACCTCGGCACTCCCTCGTCACCCACCGCAGGTCCCTGATGAGCTGACACAGTATGCCCTGCGCCGAACTGGTCATGAATGTGTCGACACTCGAACGTACGCCTCCCGGAACCAGGGGCCCTTGATCTTTGTGCATCCTCCCCAAGGCCTGGCCCAGCCCACACCCAGCCATTCCCCGTCCCCTCCCTCAGTGTCAGGCTGGTGTCCCTGGCGGCACAGAGGTTCATCGCCTCCCTCCTGGACGAGGCCATCAACGTGCACAAGCGACGGAAGCTGGCGCCGGCCTCGCAGCTGAAGGCAGATGGGCACAATGTGAGGGACAAGCGGGCGGTGCTGACAACGGAGGAGCTCGTGGAGGCCCTCAAGGAGGTGCGTCGTCGCGCGGAGTGCATGTGTTTCGTTGCTAGTCACACGCGGCACTTCATTGTGAATAGGATCCCTCCTCCCATTCGGCCATGCAGTGCGGCGTGAATGCCAAGGTGGCGCCCTACTACGCAGACCAGCCCAAGCCGGTGTCTGGGTCCGCGTGAGTCTGGCTACGCTTTCTACCTAGGCACCAGCCAGCTCACCCCATACGCGCTTGATCTTGCACAGGATCTAACTCGCAGGGTGCATTCTGTATTTCGGGTCAGGGCATGGCCTGCCCAATGTAAGGCATGACAGCTTCACGATACGCGCAGCAGTCTCCACTGCACTGGCGCGGCACACACTGTAGTCTGCCTGCTGCAGTGCAGGCAAAGTGCACAAGGGACTCTCCCCCTGACCAGACCGCTAGTACGGCGGGCGGGGCCTCTGCTCGCACGGCGGGCGGGGCCTCGGCTGACACGGCGGGCGGGGCCTCAGCTGGCCCCGCCCTGCCTGGCCTTCACAACGGCGCGATCCATCCTCCAGCGCAGGAGGGACAGCACGATGTTGGTCACGGGTGCCAGCAGGACGCTCAGGGCCAGGGGCAGCACCTTGGGGCTGAGCGAGGTCATGGAGTCCATGAGCAGGGTCTGGCCAAAATCGGGTGAGCTGATGTGGTAGGCCCGGCGCTCGATGCCCTGCACGATGCTGCAAGCCACCTGTTCTTCAGTGGGTGTGGGCAGGGAGGGTTTGGGTGCCGCAGCGCAGGAGCCGGAGGGGAGGACTGGGGCCTCTGCCATGCACAGCAGTCCCTGCAGCCGGGGGACCTAGCGACGCACACATCGGCTCCACCAGCTCCCAAACACCCTGCCTGCCTTCTCTGCCGGGAAGACCTCGCTGCCCAGCGCCGCATTGGCAGCGAGGCAGAGCTTGGGTTTCAGCTCATTCTCGCTGGCAAAGCCGGGGGTCTGGGTGTCGGGCGGGTACCCGATGCTCATGCCAACCCCGGTGCCGGCCAGCTGTGCGGGGGAGGGGGGTGGGCATGAGCATAAAGCAGCGTGACCGGCCGATGAACGATTGTGGCGTGTGCCGCTGGGATCCCTGCTGTCGGAGCACAGCAACAGCACCAGCTCCAGGTGAAACCCCAACACCACCCAAGCATCGATGTCGGAACCATGTTGCTCCTCCCTTGTGACAATCGACGTCCCAGACCCTTTCCACACACGGCAGGCCCGCACGGTCTCCAAGGTTGCACCTCGTTCCTCAGGCAGTCTGCCAGGCCCCTCAGGGCCCACTTCGTGGGGGCGTAGGAGCTGTACCCCGCGAACCCTGTTGAGGAGGGACAGGCAGCGAGGCGTCAGCGAGGCCTGCACATCACCAACACCGAGGAGGCAGCGGCTCAGTCTTGGCCCAGGGACAACTGGGTGCAAAAGTTCGCCCCAACGTACGTAAGCAAACAACCCCCACCCCTAACCTACTTCGCCCACAACTGCGCCGGCCCCTACCCACCACAGATGGCCAGGGCAGAGGAGATGATGCAGATGTGGCCTTGTCTTCGCTCCAGCATGCCAGGAAGGAACGCCTTTATTGTCTTCACGGTGCCCAGGTAGTTGACGTCCGCCTGCCTCTGGAAGTTCTCCAGACTGGAGTCGGAAAAGAGCCCTGCAGCGAGTTGGGCGTTCACCCGGGCTCGTATCGTACACAGGGATGCGTACTGGCCCAAACATGACGGGATCCACCCACGGTGTGACCCCGAGACCATCCATGGATGCTGAGGCTACCTGGCAAGGATAGCCCAGCATTGCAGATGACCACGTCCACGGGTCCCAGGGCGCCTTCTGCAGACTGGGCTGCGGCGTGGAGCTGCACCATGGTTGGAGGCAAGGGGCTCAGGAATATGTGTGGACCCTCCGACAGCAGATTAAGCGCGTTCAGCACAGCTTCATGTTATACCTGGTCAACCGAGGTGGTGTCTGCGGCGACGGTGTGGATCTTGCCCCGTGAGGCAGGGCAGGCAGCGGCGAGGCTGGCCCTTGCCTTGCTCAGATCATCTCTGTTACGCGCCGCGATCGTAACTCGCGCGCCCCGCCGCAGGACCTCCTCGGCAACCGCCAATCCTATCCCCTTGCTGCCTCCGGTGATGAAAACATGTTGGTCCCTGACCGGACACGATGCCTTCCAAAACACCATCGTCAGAATGTGCCCGACCACTGATGCCACCACGACGGTCAGCAGCACATCAAGCATGGCATGTGGTGGCTTAGAACCATACAAGAACTGTTGTGGGTGCTCTTGCACCCTTATGAGGTAGATCTGGGTGGAAGTTGTGTGATCATCGCATGAACGCGCCCCGGTCGGGAGGAAACCCCATTCGGAGCACCCTTTCTATTTTGCCTACGGTTCCGGTTTTTTCGACAGCCCGATAGGGATGCCTCGAACCAACAATGCCAAACCTTTTCCAAAGTTACATGCGACAAATAGGACATGAACCTAATCAAACCCATTGAAAAGGATAGATACAGCTCAAGCACTGTAGCTCCATTGCTCATCGGCTCAGACATTCGTCCAGCAACCCGGAGCACCCGGCCGGCGAGCGCGACCCGCTTACAGTCATGCACATGCGAGGCGCCGATCCTGCGCCTAGAACCTGGTGTGATTCCAGAACATGCACAACGCGAAGTGGGATCGCTGTGCGCTGCGCACCCAAGCGCGGCCAGGGCTAACCGAACCCCACCCGCCCCCTACGGATACCCGTGCAGGAGGCGTCCCTCCCAGGTTGTAAAACAGGCAGACTCGGCATGGACTTCCTTTCCACCATCCGAGGTCGAAACTCTGCCCTCATTCGATCCCCAGTGCACCTCGATCCCCGGCAAGTCCGACTTCCAGGCGTCCCTGAGCCAGCAGAAGGAGGACCTCTTCCATGATGCTGGGCATCTGGAGCCGCCGTCCTCGCCCATCAAGGCTTCCTGGAGCACACTCCAGTGAGTTCCAGGGATTCAAGGACATTTAATGGCATATCTGAGGGTATCGCAATTGATTGTACCTGGAAAGGCAACTTGAAAGTACATGGGAACCGCCTTGGTATTCCTGTCGCACTGCCTCACGCTCCCACAATCGGCCCCTGCACCAGAGCCGAGCCTTCTCAGCACACGCTGGGAGAGGGAGTGCCCTCCTTCTCCTCCCTCGGGTCGGAGGACGACGTGGCCAGTCTGCGGGGCTGGATCGGGCACCCACTAGAGCATGACGGACACTTTATGGCCATCGAGTTTGTCAAGCCGCAGCGGCCCCCGCCGCCACCCCCCTCCTGCCTCACCCAGCCCCAGGGACAGCAGCACGCCGTTCCAGACCTCATTTCATTCTGCACGTGACACCCCGTACCACACACCTCTTGCTTTCTTTAATCCCCCCACCATTGATGGCCTGCCAGCCATCTTCAGAGCGTGCTCAGGGCAGGAGGATACCGCAGGATGCAATCAAGATGCCGCTGAATAAGGAAGGCCAGGAATTTGCAGCAGCACAGGAAACCTGACTCCAGCAGCAGCCAGCACGGCATGCATTGGGAGGCTGCAGCATTGCAGGGAGCGGACGGTGCAGGCCGAACCAGTCTTCAAGCCTGATGTGGAGTGACAGAGTGGAGGGGTCACGTTGTCGCCTCTATGGTGGCCGGGGCTTCAAATTCACTGGAAGACACAGTGAACTTGAACTCCTCCACCAGCATCCTCATGATTGTGCCTGCAGCAAGATGCAAATGGTTGATTTTGAAAGTCCAGCTGCTGCATGTCCAGATGTGAAGCATGAGGATGCAGTGTGAACCGAGCCAGCTCAGTGAATGTATCTTCCCACGCTTGGACCCCGAAGCGCAGGGTAGGAGGTGGGCGACTGGCTCAAATACAACCCCCCCATTCCCCCTCCCGACCTGGACCCCTTCCCACCATGCTCCGGATGCTTGTAGGTCTTGTAATCGTGGGAGGCGACAAAATCAGCGGCAAACCAATCCTCCACGATGCCCCACACGGCGTGGGAGGTCTCCCACTCCGCGTGGTCGCTGAGCGCGATGAAAAACTCCTGGGTGCCCGGGATCATTGCCACGTGCCCCGCCCTATGAGGGCATTGGGAGGCACGGGGGATCAGGGTGCGGCGCCCTGTGCTCCAGGCCGCACAGCTCAGCTCATGCCAGCACCATCACCGCACCCCTCCCTCCATTCCTCTCCCGGATACATATCTCCGGCACCGCACACACTTTACTTGGAGGGACCCCTCCACCGCAGGGTAGGGCTTGGTCAGGTCCAGTCGGCCCTGCAGAAGCCCATAGGGTGGCCCAAGGCCTTCCTTCTTCTGTGCACAGGGGTGAGCGGGTATGGGATTTGGCAGTTAGGTGCTGCACCACCTTGTGTATGGGGGCCCAAGAAGGCGTCGTGAGCGACACACAGGGCACGAATTCAACTGTTATATCCTGAATGACGCACCTTGGGCCTGGCTTCGTTCCGGTAAAAGGCACAGTCTGCGCAGGAGCCGGGTCTCGCCACCATTTCCCTCACTGCCGCGACCACGGTGGGAGCATTCTCCGGCAGCAGTCGGATGGGAATGGCACCGAAATCGGTGTGCAGGAATATCCGTTCCGCGCCGTCCTTCGTGTCCAGAGACAGGGTGGTGATGAGCCTGTTGGCCGTGGAGCCAGGGGCCAGGACCACAAGGATCCATAGCCAGGCGCAACACACCAGCGCCCGCATGCTGGGAAGGGGAGGGCACTAAGACGCGGCTCAGGCCCAAGGAGGCACTGGTTGAAGGCGATGGGCATCGTCTGGGCGCGCGTGTGTCGGAGCAGCAGCTCGACCACCGCGCGTGGGGTTCGTCCGGACACTGGCTGCATGCAGGTGCCGGTGAGCACCTGCATCTCCCTCGGACGCTTTTCCTCGATGCCCTGTATGGGCATCTCTGACCATTTATCTTCTGCAGCACCATTACAGACTCTCCATTGCGCTGAGACAGTTTCCAGAGCATCTGGGTCTCATCACGGCTCCTGCCCCCCCTCCACATCCACCACCTCGTCCTCGTCCCTGTCCAGCAACACCGCAACCACAGGCTGCGTAGCCGCCAGGGCGTGCAGCAGCCGCAGGGACACCACCATGCCGTCAAAGGCGGCGGCGACGGCGGGGCTGTTGCCGTCCAGGGGCACGCCCTCGGGGTACCCCGGATACCGCTGGCTGAAGTGCGTGAGGATGGTGGCCCATGGGCGCGCGATCTGCGCCAGCTCCAGCGCCTGGGCGGTGGTGCTGTGCCGCTTGCGCTCTGCCTCGCCCTCCCGCCCCTCCCCAAAGGTGGCCTCGTGCACGAGCAGCGTGGGGGGGGGCGAGCACAGCGCGCGCAGATCGGGGTTGGGCGTGGTGTCGCCCGAGTAGACGATGCTCCAGGAACGGGCGGCGTCGATGCGCAGGCTCCAGGCGTCGCTGCAGTGGCGCGCGGGGCAGGCGGCCAGGCGCGCGGCGCCGCTCAGCGCGGCCGCCAGCCTGGCGGCCGCCAGGTGGCCTGCCAGGGGAAGCGGCCGATTGTGTGTGTGGAATTGAGAGAATGGAGGTGGTTGGGAGAGGCTGCATCGCACGCAGAGTGCAGGGCCACTGGGCATTGACGAAAATTCACTAACCCCCGCCCAAGCCCACACCAAAATCCTCACCGGGCCTGCGCAGGCAGCCGGCATGCAGGAACTCGTAGCGCAAGTCCTCCCCGCCGCAGGCCGCCAGCCAGTCGCGGAGGGACCTGGGCCCTACGACGAGGGGCGGGGGGGTGCCTTCCGGCACGGCCCTCAGGACTCCAGGCACACCGCCCATGTGGTCTGCGAGCGCCGTGGGGGGTGGGTGGGAGGGAAGGGCAGGGCCTGGAAGTGGCTTGAAGCGAAGGGCTCATGCTGGATTCGCACGGGAGCTCTCTTGCAGGCAGGCACATGGGCTCTGGGTGACCCACGGACCCCATGCCGCACGCCAAGCCGGGGATGGGCGCGTAGAAAGGTGACGCATCGTGCCCCACTGCTTCCCCCCCGCCACCCCCATTCGTACCCGCATGGCGATGGGACACCCAGAGCACGCGCAGCGTGGCCAGCAGGGTGCGCGCCGCCACGGCGCCGAGCGTGCGCGTGAGCTGACCCGCGGTGCCCTCCCCGCAGTCCAGCAGGATGCTGGAGGAGGGGTCCAGGCTGCAGTGGAAAGGGGTTTGTCGGGATGGGTGAGGGATATTCTCGTCATGCCTGGCCGACCTGCGGCGACCTCGCACCGGTGGGTTCAGCGAAGCCCCTGCCTCCCCGCCGCGGCCAACCATGGGGCCCTCCCCATATGCCTTCCCTTAACCCCAAAACGCACATGGGACTCGCAAAGCCAGCATCTCACCTGAGCCAGATGGCGCTGGCCGAACGATACTTGGAGGGCTCGGCCGAACCCGTGCCCAGAAAGTGGAGGGATGGCAGGTCGGCCTTGGCTGGGGGGTGGCCAGGTGGGGGCGGCGGCTGCGCTGGAGGGGTGCTCCCCGTCGAGGCCTGCCCGGCTCTGGGAGGCGTTGCTGGAAGGGCGCCTTGTGGGTGAGGCCGGCGTTGAACATTCTCCTCGAGGCTGCCGCGGGGGGTAGGCGGCTTGGTCAGGGATGGGTCTGTAGTGGGGTCGACGGGCGGGTGCGGTGCAGGGGTAAGCGCACCGACTCCTGTCGCTGCACCAGAATGCTGATCCGATGCCAGCCTCCCGCTGGCGGCAGCATGCGTGGATGCAATGCCACGGCGGCACCCCGGGGTGGATGGCAAGGCGGATCCCACGCCTCCCTCAACGGCTGGCTCAGCGTGCTGGAGCGACTTGCCCAGCAGCCTGGCTCGCAGGGCCGCGGCGGCTGACCGGTTGGCCGCCGGGGGCAGCGTCGGGGGTTGGCGGGCGGGAGGACTTTCGAGCATCGCACCCTGGCGCGGAGCAGCAAAGACACGCGCGGCAGGGCTTTCTACAAGGGACTTCCCTGGCACCAGGCCGTCTGGTGGCGGTGGGACTGCCAAAGCACTTCTAGGTATGTCATAACCCTGCGCCTGCACCTCCGGCTGGGCCTGGTGCAGCACCCCGATCATGCCCGCCGCCGCCGGGTGCGCCTCCAGTGCGGCAGCCCGGGCCTCGCCCGGGGTCGCATGTCCCACGCCCAGGCGCGTCAGGCTGGGGGTCCGCGCCTCGCCCGCGCGGAACTCCAGTGCCAGCGAGGAGGTGACCGTCAGGGGCTCTCCTGTGCAGAGCCCCGGCGTGCTGCATGCCTCCACCGTACCATCCACTGCGAGTCCGTGCGGGAGCGGGAAGAAAGCGGGAGCGGCCAGGTTCAGGCGCGCAGAGACGCGCGCAGCGGCGGTGTTGCCCGCCTGTAGGCCCTCCTGGGGCTCGGGGAGGAGCAGCATCGGGCAGGGCAGGGCTGCTGCAAGGTCGACCAGGCCAGGGTCGGAGGCGGGCAGGCCCTCCCCCAGCACGACAGAGCAGGCGGCCAGCCTGGCGCCGTTGGTCAGCCCGAGCAGGCCCGGCATGGCGGGGTGGGCCTGCAGCGCCTCCAGCTCCACTCTGTTTGCCAGCCTGGCGATCAGCACGAGCCTGTCCAGCGACTTGACCCAGGTCAGCAGCGCCAGAGGGCTGGGCGGGCAGGGGGCGACGGGGGGAGGGGGAGCCTTCCTCCCGAGCCCGATCACGTCCTCGATCGCCACGTAGAGCGAGATGCGGTCCGCGGGGGTCTGGACGTAGGCTCGCCCCGCGGACACGACCTGGGGCCTGCCCAGGCAGGTGAGACTCACGGTGCCTGTCTCTTCCTCGCACCTGGCAGGACCAGGGGCCCCAGCTCCGCGCGCCCGCTTCCTGGGCACAGAGTGGAGCAGGGACGCGGGGGGGTGGCGCGGGCCCTGCGTCCCCGGTGTGAACTGCCCCTCTGCGGGGCTGGAGCGGCCAGGTTGCACCGGGGGAGGGCAGGTGGGTGGCCGAGGACTCCCCGCCTGCCCGGCTGGCCTCGTGTCGTTTGGTCCACCCTTCCAGCTGCTGCTGCTCCCAGACGAGGCGGAGGCAGAGGTCCCTGCCTCGCTGCTACTACCATTGCTGCTACTGCTGCTGCTGGAGGACGCATCGTCAGGGCTGTGGCCTTCGGAGGACGTCCCGCTCCCGGAGCCCTGCTCCGACCCACTCTCGCTGTCTGACGAGGACGGCTCGTCGCTGCTGCCCGTCTCGTCAGAGCTGGAGGGGTCTGATGGGGGCGACGCGCGTCTGTCGAGCCAGTGTGGGGGATGCCAAGATTCACGGGGGCCAGGCCAGAGCATGGCCACCGCCACCAGATCATCCTGTGCAGGGGCCGGGGGGGACCCCAGAGTGAGTCGTGGACGTCGAGCTACTGATAGAAACACAAGTGCGCCAGAACAGTGGGTTCCCGGGCGGTACAGCAAGTCGTGCTCACTTGCAAGCTTATCCAGCCAGATGTGAGGCATGAGGAACCCCTGCACACCTCAAACACAATGGAGTCTCCATCGGGGTAGCAATCGCTGGCCAGCACGTGCGGTGTCTTCCACTGCACAAAGTGCTGTAGGGCTGCCACGTCCCTCACAGTTCCTGGGGGATGGGTGAAGAGGGTTGCCCATGTTTTCAGTACTCCACTCGCCCACTCAAATAGCGGCAGCAGAGGAGCCTGAATGGCATGAGCAGGCACCAGATGCACTCCACACTCCTCACCGGCTGGTCCGGTCACATGGACCTGCCCCACTCCATCGCCACGCAGGCGCATGAGGAGCCCTGCCAACCCCGTCTGCAGGTGTGATATGACATGAGGCTGGTCAGCAAAGGCCTTCTGACCGCACAGGATGCAGCAGTCCCCTGCACCCCTTCAGTAGCTCCACTACCTGCAGACCCCGGGCTTGGTAACCAAACACTGCCCGGAGCCCCAAGCCCGGGCGCTGTCGCTGCTCCAGCGCCAGCCTGGATATGCCCTCCGGAGCTCCAAACATGTATTGTACACTGGGGCGCAGGTGTGGAAGGTCCAGCAGTATTGCTGGTCCCACTCCATCCCCGGGGGATGTCAGGACTCGGATCTCCATCTCCGTCATCTTTTCGGTACAACTACTTGTCGCATGGCTTCATTTCAACATATAAATGGATACTGACGTCGTAGAAAAGGATTTCTGCCAACTTTGCTTGTTGCGTAGTTCACCAGGTGATGCGCGTTCCACTGCGATAAGACTTAATTACTTTGGGAACGAGACTACCTCTCTTGCAGTCAATTGAATGAAACTTTCAAGAACATTTAATCTAAGGAAGCATTAACGCTGGCTGCCTCGACGACGAGCTTTGATGGACAAGCTAATGCGCCTGCATACCGGCCTAGCTCTCGCGGAAGTGCCTCCCGAGCTCATCGAATCACTCGTGCTCCATGCGTGGCCCTGAGCGCTAAGAATTATCACAGTGCATCACATGCGAACAGGATGAATGCCCCTTCGACGTGAGTGCACCACCCTTGCGGACGCTTCCTGTGTTCCGGGGGTGTGCAGCACAGCATGCCCACTTCATGCCAGCTCCATCCTCACGGTCCTGTCCTTGCCACAACTAGAAAGGATTTCAGGGCCAAGCGCTACCTGAATGGCAATTTAAACCGTATAGTCTCTCGAGAAATTTTCGTGCATTGCTAACACTGACTTGCTGTTCTGCCCGAGTCAGACATCCAGCCCGGGCGCGCAACGCACGCAGGAACTGACCCTGTACCACCCTCCTCCTTCTCAACCGCAAGCTTCACTGCCGATACGCTCCCTCGATCCAGTCGTGGACTGCGGGATGGCGGAGACCGGAGAGTCAGGGCACGCACCCCTGCCGAGACAGTCGGAGGGGAGGTCCCAGACTGCAGCTGGACCCCAGGCTGCCCGGCCTCCACGCTCCCGCGGCCGGGGTCGTGGTAGGGGGAGAGGATCGCACGCCCCCGCCCTAGGTCACGAGAGGACGGCGGATATGTCCCCTGGGCGGCATGTGGGCTTCCCAGGGCGAGGACCCCACCCGCATCCTCCAAGAGGCGATGCGCGGCCTCTGGGAGTGGAGACCGCGCAGCACCCTCGACCGCCGTCGCGCGGTGATGCGACGGGCTCGGAGCCGGCCCCAGGCGCCGGACGCCTGGATGGAGAGAGCGCGCCACTCCCCCGCCCCCTGGCCCCCAGGCGAGGGGGCCGAGGGGCCCAACCCCGCGCGGCCGCCGCCAGGGGCCGCTGCTCCGGCCGCCGGCACGCGCCCGCACCAGGCCAGGCAGAGGACGAGCGCAACAGCGCCCCCTCCCACGCCCCGCCGCCGGCGTACTCGCCCGTCGTGCCGGCCGACGCGCCCCCTCCCCCCGACTGCATCGTGTGCTACGAGCCCTGCGTGGAGGTGGCGGTGGGCGCGTGCGGCCACGCCACGGTCTGCGCGGACTGCACGCTGCGTGCGCGCCTGTGCTTCCGCCAGCTGGCGTGCCCGCTGTGCAAGACGGAGCTGGCGTCTGTGGCGCTGACGCAGTGGCGCGCCGGTCTGGCCGGTCTGGCCGGCGACGCCGCGCAGGCCTCGCGGGGCCTGGTGCCGCTCAGCCGCCAGGCACCGGACATCCTCGTGGACAGGTCGCCGAGTGTGTTT